TCACGTAATGAGCATAAACTACACCGGCACAAAAAGGCCAGCACTCCCACACACACAAACGCCAAGGGGAGTGGACAGGAGAGATAGGGGGAGAGAGAGGATGGCCAAGAGCAAGAGAATATCGCGCCGCCGTGCACATAATTGGTACAAAAAGTTTGGAAAATTATCACGGAAGCAAAGCCGAAACACGTACATACATCAGCGTCAGCGGACGCGCGATGGCATAATGTCGAAGGAGGTCCCTTACCTTTACTTTACATTATCCTTATGCTTATCCCGAAACCAAACCCAGAACACCTTGAGCGCGAGAGCCTGGAACCCAGGCTCCAAGGCTTGGCCCGGACACAAATTTATCTAAGCGGAGGCGACTGTACTAATCCTGCCGACCCTAATTACTCATAGAGGTGCCTGCAGGTTCAGCCCCATGTAACAATTACCAACGCCCTGCTCTGACCGGGTACGGTTCGGTCAATGCTTATCCCCGAAAAAAACCAGAGGGCCCGGAACAAGAAAAGCGGAAAATGTTTCACTTTGTGTTAAACTGAAGAGTTTCCGCTTTCGGGTTTTGGGGGGCCGGGCAATTAGGAGCCAAAAGTCTGATTAAAACGAGGCAAATGCAAGAAGGAGCCAAGCCATGAGTTGATTACACTCCGATTACAAATTTGTGTGCCTGTGCTTGTGTGATGGTTGCACGATGGCCAACACCGACACAGTCGCATAATTACAAAGTGAACGGGAACATGAAAGTCGTAAAGTGCAGGAAATGGGAGATGGCAGAGGGAGATGAGGGACAGCACTGGTAGGTGCTGATTAAATGGAATGAGCAACACTGACTTAAGTACAGTCGCCATGGTAGCAAGTACTAAGTATGTGGTTAATGGGAAGATAATAACGTAAAAGGATATCAATTATCTGTACTCCAGCATCCATCACACACAGACTGAGCTGATGAGCAGTAAAATGAAAACCAAAGAATATATTGAAAGGTAGAACGTAATCGATATGTTTGCAAAACACTTTTACATAAGCAATTAATTATACAAAAAATTGTAAGTAATTCTATACCAAATCAATCAAATGCTCAATCTGATGATGACTTTTGCGCCCCGCTTCGACGTGATATTAAATTTCCTTTCAATATTTATAATGCAAAGCAGTGCAGAGAGAGAGAGAGAGAGAGAGATCCTGTGAAAGGTGAACTTTGGGAAGCACTGTTGGGTGAAAATGGAAACAATGAATCATTGAACAGCATGGGCAGCACTGTATGAGAGTGAAACAGTTAATAAAGATTTACTAGATATGTATGTACATATATATGTACATTCACTTTGAAATTCACGTTGATTTTCATTTAATTTACAATGGAAAAGCCACTGTTTTTTCATTATATTTTATGTTTACCAACTAATAAAAAGTAGCAAACGTTTCACTTTACACCCAACTGGAAAAGACTTTGAGCCCCAAATGGAAGACTTCCGCCCCCAACACAGACAGAGTGGAACACCTATTAAAATGTGTGTGGCCATTAAAAAGTTTCTTTCTCTATGGCAAAAACTCTTGAACCGAGGCACAGTGAGTGGAAGCGGGGAGAGAGAAAGACCAACGCGACCAGAGGCCAGGGAATTTCCCTACTGGAGCTGCTGTTGTTACTGCTACTGATTCCTCCTGGTGCATGGTGCCGTGGTGGCTGCCATGGCCACCTGTGCAGGTATGGTGCGATGCAATGCGATACGATGCGATGCGAGTGGCAACTGAAAATACGTTTGCATATGAATTTTTCAAAATGTTTTTTGCGTTGACCTCGTTTACGGGTCAGAGCGAGTATGAAAAGTTTGCCCGTACAAACTAAATTGCCGCTTGCAATGCGGAGGTACGAAACGAAAGACAAACGCAACGGGGACTATGGACCATGGTCTGGGGTCTGGGCTTTGAGTTTTTCTTTTTTTCTCCCCTCGTTCCTACCCATTTTTTCAGTGGTGGAGCTGCTACTGCTGCAGCATATTGAAATGCGATTACAGTCCTATGGCCTGGTGGCTGCTGCTTGCTGCCTTGTGCCTTGTGGATTCATGTTCATTAAACATGCATAAACACACACTCGCAGAAGAGCAAACGCAAACGCAAACACCCGCTGAAACAAACACGATACGAGTGCCAAATAGAAGAACATTTTTGGGAGCAGTAGCATCAGCACCAGCACCAGCACCAGCTGTGTCCCAAGGCACTTGTAAACAGTTTAAATTTTCAAAGCGATGTGCTAATTTTAAATCAATTACATGACGTGACGACGACACCCAGCAGTATTATCCCCCAACGTCACACCCCCATCTACCAAAAACAACAACAAAACAGCTTCTGGCATTGGCACTCTGCTTAGTGCCAGTGCCATTGCCTATGACTGCGCCATTGCCAGTGCTGCCCATAACAATATGCAAGTAATCGTAATCGAAAATGCGTACAAGTCACACACAGAAGTTTTTTGGCAACAGTTGGTGTGCACAGTTTTTGCGTGCTGAAAAGTGGATTTACTTACAGAAAAGTTGTAGCCAATTCAACGCCCTCTATTCATTTTCCTTATTTCGACAAGGAAAATGTAAAATGCTTCGTTTTGGGCTGGGTTAGAGCAGTGGGAGGAAAAGACAAAAAATATATACATATAAATAAGAGCATGTACTGGAGTACAAGGCTGAGGAAAACTTTTGTTAGTGCTACATTTGGCGACAGAAACACCGCACCGACAGCAGCACCAAATTGAAGGCAGCTGTCTGTGGGCTGTGGCCTGAGTGGGTGGCTCCTTTTTGGGTTGAAGATGAGGTGGACTTAGCCCCCCAAAACTCAATTTCAGTTGCCACACTCGCACAGGCACAGCAAGTATAAAGACAGAGAGAGAGCGCAACAGCTTTCTTAGGGGCCACTGAAAGAAATTTAAAGGGAATTTAAGGAAGAAGGAGGAGTGAATAATGTATGAGAATTCATTGGAATTATTTCTTAATTTTGTGAATTAAATATATGTATTTTCACAGTCGATTTGCAGGGTATCATACTTGAATTGTGTTCCGAAATGTCTTTAAAATATCTTGGCTATTCCATGTTGAGTATTTTTACAGCAGTTCAGCCCCTTCTCCTTAATCCAAATTGTACGACGGATTCAACAGGCCCATATCCTGCCAACTCGTTCTTATTCTTTTTATTTGACTTAAATAAATACATTCAAGTGAATGGGCATGGCTGTGTGTGTGTTTGTGTGACTTTCTTTATGGTAAAAACTTTGAGGCCGACGCCAAAGAGGAGTCGAGTCAAGTCGACCCGAGTAAATATACACAAACACACACACACAAGCGCGCATTCAAGTACGTTTGTATGTACATATGTACATAATTTAGTGAACTTGAAACTTGCCTCCGCGAGAACTTTCGCCCGTCCTTTTCGTAAAAGGATATATGCATGCACATACACTTACACACATGTTGTATGTATGTATGCATATATGTATTTGTATATCGAATGTAAAGGAGATGGCCGAAATGTCACTCCCCCACCACCAGCAATCCGCACACTCTACACAAACAAGAACATCAGTGAGACGGGACAGACAGACACACGGGAAAAATAAGATGGCGTGAGTAGTGAGAGAAAGACAGAGAGGCAGAAGTGAATGGGGGGCCAGCCAAGAAATTTTATGCTAAGTAATTTATATAGAAACATACACGGCACACACATAAAAAGCACTGCATGTGGGAGTGTGTGGGTGTAGTGTATGACAGCAGGAGCAGAGGCAGCCAGTATCAGCTTATTAAAGATTTAAAAAAAATTCTCCCTTGCAGTGCAAGGAAGCGAAAGCAGAAAATTGATATGCACTTACCGGTCACACGGAAGCTGAGTGGGAGAGAACGGGACAAAGGGAGAGTCGTCAGAAAGCAGAGCAAAAGAGTATGCTCAGAATAATACAGTAAATTCAGCTGGCTAACGGTAAACTGTAAATCGTGGGAGAAGCGCCTGGGGCTAGTACATTGTGTGAGCGTGTGTGTGGGTGTGCGTGTGTTTTTGCTGCTGAAGATCGAACAAGTATAGAGTGGAGACACCAAGAGAGAGCGAGCGAAAGAGAGTCTTTGTTTTGGCAGCTGTGTGTGGCCAAATTGAAAGATAATAACGGAGATGGGGAATTGACAAGGGGGCCAAAAAAGAAGAGCAGTAGAGCATTCCCAACTTACAACGAGGAAATCAATTGTCATTATTCCCGCAGCCTTCATAATACACTCGTATTAGAAGATAAACAAAGGAAACAGTGATAGAAATGGTTTGATGTAATCAATAAGTTTGTGAAAATAAATGATTTCATCAAGATGTTATGTCTTTGTATACTTAAATTTATGTTCGAACACTCTGGGACATGACATGCTCTTTCATAGCGGTTCTTTGCCGGCTCATTAAATAACAAAACAACTAAAAACACATGGAAAAAACGCACATGGAAGCTTGCGTGCGTTTGCGTCTATGTTTCGTACTCACCTCACCAACCAAGTTAACCGTTCCACTCTGCAGGCGCAAGTATAATTCCCAAGGGCACACACCGTTTTAACACTTAATCAATTCACTAATTATCGATATTCACATAAACTTAAGATTCCTTTTCCCGGTATTTTTGAAGACCGGCTCGTGCCCAGTGTGACCGCGGACTTATCGATAAAATATACCGTACGACCCTACAAAATATACCTTCTCATTTTAGAATATTCCATAAATATACAGTAAATCTACAATAATTTTCCTCGATTTTGATATTCGGATTACTATTTCTAGCTAGTTGGTACTCTCAGCACTAAAACAAATAATTTTATGCGATTTTTGAAAGAATTCTCTGCCAGATTGGCTATTTTTCATGACTTTCCTTTATTGGATTGTATAAATAATAAAGATCAAACTAAAAATGTCAGCATGTCAATGAGCATGAGCATGGAATGTACAACTTGTTGCTTGTCAATTGATTTGACGGCCAATTCAAATTCAAGATTCATAAGGTTTATTATAAATATATTTCGATTATATTTTATGGTAAGCTGCCAATTAATAGTTGCCAATATTTGAGCATGTTCGCTCAACGTCCTGCGGTAGTAATTTTGCTGGGCATTGGGCCTGCAGAGCGTTTAAAAACTATTTTAAAGTTTTCACTAACAGTGTAATCCTCCTTGAACACAACCACCAGATTCAATTCAAACTCTGAAAGAGATCGAAGGGATTTAAATGAGAGTTTCTCATACTGGCATATCGTTTCATACCAATTTTAAAGTTTTTTGTGAGCAACGTGGGGCAGGTGAAGAGTCGCGGAAGTACCATATAAATGGGAAGTTCCAGCTTGGGCAGAACGTTGCCATCAGCGATTTGTATGGTCTGGATCTCGGTGGCATCCTTGCTGTGACCCTCTTCACAGCCACATGTCTCCACGCGCACCAGTTGCATGTCAATCGATTTGATGGCCGCCTCCGTATGCTGCACCATAATGCTGCCGGTTATGGGCATCGTTACACACGATTCACTGCGATCCAGACGACCTGTGATGAGAAAACGCGGCATGGATAGGCGCTCCTTGGCTGTAGCATTTTTCTGCAGCGAGTCGGGACTCAGGCTGAAGGGCACGGATCGCAGCGAGTCTTCGCCGAGACCCGTTGGCTTGTACTGCACACAAAACTGTTGGATTTTCGTCATGGATTTGCCCAGAAAGTTTCGCTTGACGGTGCACTGCAGTTGGTAGTTGACATTGATAAATACTCCGTGATATGTCTCGTACAGTGGCTCCTTTCGGCTGACGAGAGGCAGCTCGAAGTGAAACTCGGAGCGGCCAGCGCTCAGCTTCCCGGGAGCAGATAGCTCGAGATTGTTCTGCAGCAGATTAATGGGCTTCACAGAGTTGTAGAAGGCGTCGAATAATCCCACGGTCTTGCTGCTAAGCTGCAAATTAACGATTCCCTCCAGATATAGCTGGATTCCTTCATGTTTTGTGTCGGCGCTGCTCTGGAACTGCACGCAGCCCAGCAGCATGTCCTATGGGAGTGTTTCAGGATTATAGGGTATGCGCAGGATATCGTATTAAACTTACATTCTCATAATATACTTTGTTTTCGCGTTTTAGTTTGATTTCAAAGTTGAATGTATTCATTTTTATCCAGCGACTGCCGAACAGCTGTTTTGGCGCGACTCGAAACACAACACTGGAGAGCCCAAACAATTTTGCTGTTCAACAAGTTGGCAGGGCCAAACGACAGACGAAAACAAACGAAATTTTATATAAGATATTAAAATAATTTCCCATAAATACAAATGCCGCCCAATCTGAATGCAGAGCGTGATAATCCCTGCCTAAAGGTATGCTTGCAAGTAATTCGACACAAGATGTTTACTATACAATGTCTCACCATTTGTAGGAGCAGGAATTGTCGTTCAAGTGCCTCAACAAAAACAACTTTGACCGCGACAAGTGTGAGGTTTATTTTGTTAATTATAACAATTGCAAAGAGTTTTGGGTACGTGCATCAATTAAACTGCGTATAATGTTCACTTGAATGCCATTTTCTTTTAGAACAAGGTTCGTGCGGACCGGCGCGGCAAGGGAATAGCTCCCTATTTGCCGCCACTGGAAGAACGCGATTCCATCAAAGCGGAATATATGAAAGCAAAACCTGCACAAAGTTGATACAAATTCATATTTTTTTTAGTATATCATTTAATTATATAACAAATTTAGCTATGGTTGTGTATAGCATCGGCTCCAACCACTTTCAGAGGGGACAGAGCCACCTCCAGCATGGCCGCAGCCAATTCCATTTCCAGCGTTTCCTTGGGATCGTTTAGGATTAGAAGCTTTAGCTGAGGCAGACGGTACAGGCAGGAGAGACCATCTGTGGTAACTGCAGTGCCAGATAGGTCCAGGACTTCCAGACGCGGGAACTCACCGCCTGAAACCCTGTCCAGGCACCAGTCGTCGAAGGTTTTCACATTGTGAAAGGAGAGAAACTTGAGCTGGTCGAGGCAGCGCAAGTTCTCTAATCCCTCGTAGTAGAGCACCATGTTGTCGCAGCGCAGGGCCTCCACCTTGTAGCCGGGATGGAATTTATTGGGCAAACTAAATTCCCCATCTTCGGTGGCCCGATGCCAGCGCGGATCGTTGACGAACCTGGCGGCCCCACCACGATACAGTATGAAATGGGCAGCAGCCAGCTCTGCTCCCAGTATCTTGTGCCGCTCCGGTATAAACTGTTGCATGTGCCTCTCGATCTTCTCCTGGCGATTCGCCCACCACTGCTTCATATTCTTTGGCGACAGATCTATGGGCCGCTGCATCATCACAATGAAGTCTGAATTCTGCTCGGAGTTGGAGAACAGCTTCAGCTTGCTGTTGCCCCAATCCTCGGGCCTGTCTCCTATCGGTGTGCGCCATTTTAGCAGCTGCTTGTCGGAGGCTAGCTCCTCGCGAATCCGTCTGACCGTGTGGCTGACCTCCTCGTTTGGCTGCGGCTCATTGGTGGGCTGTGTGGAGGCCAGGCGGCGCCCTTGTCGCCCCAGCAGCGATACCAAGCGTCGTGAATTGGCGTGCAACATGCTTTTCTTTAATTAAACTATTTGCGGCCGAAAGAATTGTTTAACTGACGCAACAGCTGCTCGACAAAAACAAACAAAGTTGGCAGGCTCGAAATATGTTGTTACGGTATTTTTCTGAGGGTCTGACCATCAAATTAAAAATTCAAAGAAAAATTGGTAAAATATAATGTCATAAGGTATAAAATCCAATAAAATTGAGTATTTATAATAAGCCAAATTGATTCTTCAATCGGATTAAATTATTTTTTCAGTGTTGCAAGTGTTTGCAAGCATATTGCCATATCAAATAGAACATACAAATCTAGGAATATGATTTAAGACTAAGGTATATTACGGTATATTTTTATAATGCGATGGTATATTCGGTATATTTGCGAGGGCTTGATTAAGCATTTTATCGATAATTTCTTCTTATTTTTCTTTAGCGTGAAATTTCACATTTCCACAGACACATTGCTAAAAAAAGAAAGAATTCCACCGAAAAACAAAGTTAAATATACATAGAGGCAGTTTGGCTGCCAGCGCAGATATTAAATTGCTTAGCAAACGCTGCGAAAGCTGATCGAAAACTACGTAAATCAGACAGCGCCGCTCACTGGAAGGGCATCAGCGAGGAGCAGTCACTCATTGTGCATATTATTCATTGTCGAGCATTTTTTTTGCTGACTGTGGTCACAAGATGGTCAATTCATCTGGCAGCGAGGATGGCCAATTGCGGAGCCCCACCGATGGGCATTATCACAGGTGTGTATATGCTTTAGATCCCCTTGCCCGTAGTAATAGAGCATCTTTTGATGGTCGATTCATGAAAAATTGTTGCTGCATACACACGCACACACACACACACATGCACGCAAAGACAGGCCAGGCGTACATCATACACACTGTCTGGTGCTGACAACTTGGCGGTATTTGTGCTAAAAATGTGTACAGCTAGCTGGTTTTCTTGAATGAAATTCCACAGTTGTCAGCACTAAAGGATGTCTGTGGCTGTGTGTTTGTGTCTGTACTGTGCGAGTGTGTGTGTGTGGATGGGTGAAACAATTTTTTGACAAGCATTTTTCTTTTGTATCTGTTTCTACATGCTAATTCTACAAAAATCGAAAAGCGAATTTGTAAATTGTAAAAAGAACACACATAAACAGAATGAATCCTCCTCCTCCCCCCATCACCCACACCCTTTTCGCGCTTGTTTGTTAACCATAAAAAAAGAAAACAAGAAATGAAACCAAAATCCAATTATTGATGATAACCAATTACTGAATATCTAATATTTGTTGTACCATTTAATTGACTTGAATTTTTTCATTGCAAATAGGCCAAAAAGTGTGTACTTGTCCCAAGACCGAGGCGCGCGATGGCCAACAACAATACCTAATAATAATAATAATATAAATAATAATAAAAAGAAAAAAGAAAAAAAAAATATAATTGTTACAAAAAAAAAAACCAAAAACCAAAAAGAAAAACCACAAAAATGTGCAAGCAAACTGCAAATGAAATTCGAATTTCAAAATAATGTTGTGCACACACCCCGTCCAGTTTAAAAACTGCATCGGCAGAGAGCGAGAAAGCGAGCGAGCGAGTGCATCTTCTTCTTCTTCAGGGCAGGTGGAGAGCGAAACCGAAATGCGATACCGAAATACGAATCTTCTCAAGCCAAATCCAAAGCCAATGTCAATATGCCCAAGCCCCAATTCAACGCTAATCGCTTGCGCCTGACTAATAAAATATGTTCCAGAGATCTATCTCTCCGGATCTCGTATCGTGTGCTGCTGGCGGTAAATTGTAACTGTAAATCAAATGAAATCAATCAAAACACACAATGATGAAACTTTTGCTAATTCCTCTTTCCAAGTCCCTTCCACAAGTCTCAATATCTATCCGTGTCTCTCCTCTTTCTCTCTCTTCCTATCTCTCCATCTTTTTGTCTTTTTGTCAACCGAAAAGCACAGAACAGAGCAGAAATATAAAAGATCCATCCCAAATAGCAGAGTAGCAGGTGGCAGGTTGCATGCAGCTGCAGTCCGTGTGTAAGTCGGGTTTACATTTTACAGCCCTTGGGAGTGTGTTTAAAAACTCATCAATGCTCCATGGAATAGTCCCAAGCGTACCATCCGTACCGATCCGATCCCTATGTCCTCGGGCAAGAGTGGAACACAGGTAAGTACTCCATGTTGATTGCACTCGGTGCTCCTCAGAGTGCTCCAATGCCGAGATGATTGCTTCAATTAGCTGCACGAATTCCGTCTTAAAGTACTGCACTAAACTTTATTGATTCTAATCTCCAAAAGAATTACAGAGCGAAGCGTGTGGACACACCATCAGCACCAACGCCGTGAGCTTTGAAGCCCCCCAAGGGCACTGTGTAAAATGTAATCCTCAGCATCATAGACTGCAGCAGCAAACGCCAAACAGAACAGAACAAAACAGAAAATATCAGATCAGGCAGCGTCAGCGCAACGTCGGATTCGCATCGGAAGATCGGGGGCAGAACTTTAAGCATGGCGCCATAATTGTGAATTATTTCTCTCTCTTTTACTTTTAGCGGGGACGAGGAGCACGATGCCGATGCCGATTCACTGTACATACAACCGCCGCAGGCCAGCAGGGAAGCCACTGGATCGAAGCGCGAATCCAAGAAGAAACATTCCCGCGAGCGAAGGCGTCACAAGGAGAGAGAAGAAGGTGGCGGATTAGAGCGTGAGCATCGATACGAGTATACGAGGGCCAGGGAGGAGCACTACCATCACCACCACCATCCACGCACCAACAACAGCGAACGAGGAGCCGTTGCGGCAGCTGGAGGATATCACAAGCATCACCTGAGCCATGCAGCGTACCACTACCCACAGCCGCCCCTGCCACAACCGCCGCCGCCGTCAGCACAGAGCTATGTCCATCACCACCATCAGCATCACCAGGCAATGCATTTGAGTGTGCCTAGGGGAGTGGTTGCGCGAGGGGACTACCATTCCTATCCGTCTGGCGGCTACCACGGCAGCAGTCGGCATGCCGACTACCCCATGGAGGAGCCGCCCAGCAGGAGAGGCAGCAAATATGCCGAGAGCAAGGATGCGGAGAGCCTCGAGCAGGATCTGCGCTCGCGTCTGCTGAAGAAGCGCCACAACTACGTCAAGGACTACGAGACAGAGGAGAACTACGAGCATCGGCGGGAGAGTCGCAAGGAGCGGGAGCGCGGACGCAGCCACAAGCAGCGCCACGAGCGTGTCATCGAGCTGCTGGACAGCCCAGAGCTGGAGCAGCAGACGCACCACAAGTCCCAACGCAGCTCAGTCAAGCCGTTGCCCAGGGAAGATGTTCCTGATGTCAGCCGGAGAAAGATTAACGTGGAAGTGGATCCAGAGCTGCTTGCCAGAAGGGAGAAGCTTCTGGCCGCCGAGCGGGAGAATCGACAGAGAAAGCAAACAGCTCGGGACGAGCTGGAGGCACGACGGGAGCTGTTGCGCGAACGGAACGAGCACAGCGATGCCCTCAGTCCGGCGACAGTGGCCGCCAGCGTCACTGCTGGCCTGAACATCGTCAAGAGGAAGCAGAAGGCGCTGGAGAGCGACGAGCGGGACATCAAGTACAAAAAGCGGAGAAAGCCCAGCGTTGAGGAGG